TGGGTTAATGGGATTGGAGACCACCCAGACCCCCAAACTGACCCCAAACTGACCCCAAACCCACCGTGGGTTGATGGGGTTTGGAGACCACCCAGACCCCCAAACTGGCCCCAAACGGACCCCAAACTGGCCCCAAACTGGCCCCAAACTGGCCCCAAACTGACCCCAAACGGACCCCAAACTGGCCCCAAACTGGCCCCAAACGGACCCCAAACCCACCGTGGGTTAATGGGGTAGAAGACCCTCCCCACTGTGGGTTATTGGGGTTGGAGACCACCCAGACCCCCAAACTGACCCCAAACTGACCCCAAACTGACCCCAAACTGGTCCCAAACTGACCCCAAACTGACCCCATGATGAGGATGACCACAAAGAGAACACTGAGGATGAGGAGGGTGAGGATGAGGATGAAGATGAGGATGACCACAAAGAGGACACTGAGGATGAGGAGGGTGAGGGTGAGGATGAGGATGAAGATGAGGATGACCACAAAGAGGACACTGAGGATGAGGAAGGTGAGGATGAGGATGGCCACGCTGAAGACACTGAGAATAATGAGGACAAAGATGGTGACAATGACAGCAAGGACGATGAGGATGATGAAGATGATGAAGATGATGAGGATGGCAAGAAGGGTGAGGGTGAGGACACTGAGGATGGCGAGGATGAGGATGGTGACAATGACACTGAGAGTGGTGAGGATGAGGATGGTGAGGCCGAGGACCATTAGGATGAGGATGAAGATGAGGGCAATCATGGTGATGAGGATGATGAGGACGATGAAGATGAGCGTGAAGATGATGAGAATGAGGATGATGAAGATGATGATGATGAGGACAATGAGAATGAGGAGAATGATGACGACGATGATGATGATGATGAGAATGATAACGATGGTAAGAATGACAAGGATGATGATGATGATGACAATGATGATGATGATTGTGAGGATGAGGATGACAACGATGACAATGAAGATAATGACGATGATGACGATGATGACGATGAAGAAGATGATAAGGAAGGCAGGGATGATGATGGTGACGATGACAATGATGGTGATGATGATAATGATAACGATCATGATACTGAGGATGAGGATGACAACGATGGCAATGAAGACGATGACGATGATGATGAAGAAAATAAGGAAGGCGAGGATGAGGATGATGATGATGATGACAATGATGGTGACAAAGATGACGATGACAACGATGATGATGATGATAACAACGGTGATACTGAGGGTGAGAATGACAACGATGGCAATGAAGATAACGAAGATGATGATGGTCATGAAGAAGATGATAAGGAAGGCAGAGATGATGATGATGATGATGAAGAAGGTGATAAGGAAGGCAGGGACGATGATGATGATGATGACAACGATGGTGACGATGATGATAACGATAACAATGATGATAATGAGGATGACAACGATGACAATGACGATGATGAAGGTGATGATGATGATGACAACGATAATAAAAAAGTGATAAGGAAGACAAGGATGATGATGATGGCGACAACAACGATGATACTAAGGCTGAGAATGACAACGATGGCAATGAAGATGAGGAAGATGATGATGATGATGATGAAGAAGATAAGAAAACCAGGGATGATGACAATGACAACGACAATGACAATGATGTTGACAATGATGATGATGGTGACGATTACAAGAACAATGACGATAATAACAACAATGAAGATGACAACGATGATGAAGATGACGATGACGACGGTGATGAAGATGGCTTCCCCCCCCCACTCACCTCCCCGTCGACGCCGGGCCGGAACTGCGGCAGCGTCTCCAGGCAGAACACCACGATGGACACCAGGATGACCAGCACGGACAGCAGGGCCACCACCCTGGCGGCCGGCGAGCTCTCGGGGTGCTCGCACAGCAACCACGCCCTCCTCCTCAAACCTCCCCGCGGCAGCGCCGGCGGCTCCTCCACCGCGAAGCCTTCGGCCTCGCGCAGCCTCTCCTCGGCTTCGTCGCCCAGCTGGTAGAACCTCAGCTCCTCCAGGAACACGTCCAGGGGCACGTCGGGCGGTCGCCGCAGCCGCCCCCCGGATTGGTAATAGTAGAGCACGGCCCCGAAGGCGCCGCGGTGCCGGTCGAAGAAATACTCGCGGCGTTGGGGGTCGAAGAAGCGGCGCCGGCGCCGGGGGTCTCCCAGCAGCGTGTCCGGGAATCGCCGCAGCGTTCGCACCAAGGTCTCGAATCGCCGGCCGGCCACGTTGATGGCCACGCGCTCGCAGCAGCCCAGCGGCTCGCCCGTGGCCATGGCGGCCCCGCAGCGGGGCGCGGCCGGGGC